TGCTCTCTTTCAAATTCATGCCATTTGTTTTTTATTAATTGCTGTTATAGCATAATATATATATGTGTGTGTGTGTGTGTGTGTGTGTGTGTGTGTGTGTGTGTGTGTGTGTGTATTCCTACAAAATCTTCTCAGACTACATAATGTTAATTGTATGTATGTTTTCAGAGCTGATCATTTGGAATTAGATAATCAATTTGTGTGCCCTTCCATGGAAAGGCTATTTCTCCAACTCTCAGCATTTCTTAAGTTTCTGTAGTTTATTTCCTGTTTGTTTTTAAGATGGAGGACTCCTTTTATTCACTACCCCCAGCAGTCGCCTGAACTCCCCACCCTCATAACTCCACTTCCACTTTAGCATGCCTACTGTTCTTTGGTGTCCCTGCTCTGCTCATGTTGGTGAGGAATGTGGGTGATTTGAGTAACACGGGTGAGTAATGTAATTCCCTTACATATTACTAGGAAACACAATCCCACAAACCTTCCTCCATCCTCATCTTCCACAATGGTCCCTGAGCCAGAAGTGCCAAGACTTGTGATGTATTCCACGGGAATAGGCTTCAGTCCTCTGCATTTTCACAAGGACAACAATGTTAGACATGTAAAAGGGGATGGGGTGAAAGGTCATGAGGCCTCAATTCTGTACTAAGAACTGCATGCAACTAATGAACGTTGAGGATGGGAGAAATAGCCTTAGCCAGAAAACAGCGAATCTTTTGGTTATCCCAAGTAGTCAGCCCTAAAAATGTACATACAAGTGACATTATACAATTTGATATATATGTATCAATTACTGAAGAGGCCATAAAGTTGAAAGGCACTAAGTAAAGGTATTTGGGAGGAATTAGAAGGCGTTAAAGGGAAGGGAAATTATATAATTATATTATAATGTCAAAAAGTAAACTATTTTTAAATAGTACATGATCACTTAAACATGTGTAAATTGTTGGCTGTTTCTTTTTTGCTGGCTTTACTATTTGAGTGCAAGTGCTGGGAATTCAACCTAGGGTCAGGGTAACTCAGCAGGTCTTTTACTACTGAGATCTCCCAGGAGATCTACCAAGTTTCCTACCAAGTTCTTGATTGGACAATGATAGATAAATTAATTAGTCTGTCTGTTAATACATTTAGTTGAAAATTAATTGATATATAAATTGCCAAATATGCCAGTAACATTCTTACCAATGGGGGCAAAAAAAGAAAAAGACTTAAATTCTCTAATTCTAAATCTCTTTGGAATTTTATTTTATTAAGCACAAAATATCAATATGCATTTGTATATTTGATGAACTATTTAGACTAGTGGTGTGTTGGAGAAATAATTTTGTCCACAGTCAAGTACTCTTTAATATATTCTTACTCACTGGTCAGTGCTTATTTGCAGGCAAGATTAAATTCTCCAGAATGTGGAGCTATGAACCATGAAGTCACATTCCTAGTGGGTGGCAGGCACCTAAAGTTGATGAGGTATAACCTGAGAATGCCTTATTTAACCTTATAGCTAAAAGTTGATGAGGTATAACCTGAGAATGCCTTATTTAACCTTATAGCTCATTTTTTAAATATCAAAGAATTGTCATTTTATTGCAAGCATTTATTTCTACTTCTCACTTAATTGTTCCCTGGGGATATTTTAGAACATCTTTGAACAAAATAGTTTAGTTCTAAACAAACAAACAAACAAACAAACAAAATACTACATAAGGAATAATTAAAATTCTGTTTCCACAGTTCCTTCTTTTTTTAAAGACTGGATTCACTCAACCAGTATCACAATTATTATATCATTGTGTCTTTGGAAATTACTATGCCCAAAGTAACTATCTGATTAGTTACCACTGTTTGTATTCACTTGGAAACTGGTAAAAATGGCAATATTTTTAAAGATCACTTACTTGACATTACAAGCACTGTTCAGCAAACTACAGCCTTGTTAAGAATTTACTTAGCATGGTGCTTCTAGCTTTTTATGTTCATCAGTGTCTAAAGGGAAAATGGAAATTTTATTTTAGCTTCTTTCCCATAGGGATCCTGTGGAGAGATACTGAAGAGGACTTCATAGTTCAGTTCTCTTTCACTCTGCTCTTATCACATAGAGGCAGAGTTTAGTTCTCAGTATCAGTTCAATAGCCACTCACAGAATGCCTACTGTGCAGATAGCTCTGACTCAGGGTGCTAAGATAGTGAGACAAGCTTCCTGCACACAGGGAACCCATTCAGTTGCTGGTGCATCCCTCTTTGGACTACTGTAGGCTTTACTTTATTCGCGCTCGCTTGAAATGCTGTTTGAAACTAAGCTGTAGATGACATCATAGAATGTGTGGACTTGAAAAGATTAGCGCTGGGGAGATGGGGTTTGCTGAAAACATTCATTAGAATGAAAATCACATTATTCAGCTTTACTGTTTAACAAATGAACTCACAGAGATTTGCAGGACTTGAAGGGGGAGGGGTCTGATGGTGAATCAACATTCCCAGCCAGAGAGCCAGGAGGATTGGTACATGCTTAGGACCAGCCTGGTCTACAGGGTCCCTTCAAAACTGGGGTGGTGGTTGGATGCTTGTGCAGATGTCTTAGTTTTGAGCAATTATATATTTATCAGTGGAGGTTCTTGCCAATGTTGTAGTGTTAAACCAGATTTCTTTTTTCTTTTCCATCTCGCAGTGTCATTATTAGTCTTAGTTAGTACAAAGCAGACAGGCAGACAATATTGTAAAGAATTAATTGTTAAAGTTCATTGGCAAATAACAAAACTGACATGAAATTTCTCTTGCTTTGTGTTTTCGAGCTTAGTTCTAGTTGTCAAAAGAGGCAAAATTTTGTATAGCAAATGTGATCAAAGCGCTAAAATGCTAAACATATTCTATAAATGAACTGACTAAAGCATTGTGGGAATTAAAATATTCATTTTATCGTCAATATTCCAAACTCAAAATATTTTCAAATTGTCACTGTAAATTTATTTTTAAAACAATATAAATACCACCTGATACCATCGATTCCCTATGACTACATAAGATAAAAGCTAACCAGCTTGAACAATGTTATTCAAGGTGAGGGGCACAACCCTTTTGGGGTCGCATATCTGATATTTGCATTATGTTTCACAGTGGCAAAATTGCAGTTATGAGGAAGCAACAACATTATTTTATGGTTGGGGTCACTGGAATGTGAGGAACTGCAATAAAAATTGAAGCCACTGCTCTAGAAGCTTGTGACCATGTAGGTTTCAGCTAGGTGTATTCCAGTAGTTCAAATTTTTTGTTTGTTTGTTTTTTATTTAAATTAGAAACAAGCTTGCTTCACATGTCAATCACAACTCCCTCTCCCTCCACTTCTTCCCCTCCTGCCCAACCAGACCCTCCAGCCCCCCACCCAATCCGCACTCTGATTCCCAGGGAGGGTGAGGCCCTCCATGGAGGATCTCCAGAGTCTATCATTTCATTCAGGGCAGGGCCTAGGCCCTCCCCCAAGAGTTCAGGCTGAGAGAGCATCCCTCATTGTGGGATGGACAGCCAGGTTTTAGCCTAAGGACATGATTTATTATAATTATATTTGTATGCATGGAACAACTTAGATTACCATTGTCCTCTAAATACTTTAAATTTACTTTAATCTGAATTTTTATTGACCTGGAGTTTAGATTTTTTCCTATTACAGAGTTTTCAGTGTCTTGATTCTGCACATGTGTGTGTTTCGCCAATTTGGGAAAGGTTTATTTGTTATTTTTTTTGTTTTGTTTTGTTTTGTTTTTGTTTTTTTACCAGTTTTTCAGGCTTGTTTTCTCTTGTCTCCAGATAGCACAGTGACACCTATGTTGGACTTCTCATGGTCACTAAGACTATGCTGATTTCTTTCCTTATGTCTTTCCATCTATGTTCCCTTGGTTGTTCTGACTGGGTGAAATCTGATGCTCTAACATTAAGTCTCTAACTCTTTAAAGTACTACATACTGAGTATATCTTTTAAGGATTACTTTGTGTTATTGAAGTTTTCTGTGATTTTGTTCTGATTTATTTTATATTCTGTTTGAAATTTTTATTTTATTGTCTAGGTTAGCATAAGAAGTAATGAGTTTCCTCACATCACTGATGATATCAACAACAAATAACAGCTCTTACCTCAAAAGAGATCAGAGAATGTTTGTTCAATTTATACTGCCCCAAAGTTTTACCTTATACTCACACATTGTTAACACATACAGAGACAGGGAGTATAAGACTAGTCAGGGACTAATGGTAGCCCAAGATTGTCTAGCTCTGGACCTGTAATATCCCATCCATAAGTACTGAGATCTAATCACTAATCAGGCTAGTAGCATGTTCTACTAGCTGGACTAATTTTGTGTGTGTGAACTTTGGTTTACAGTGTCTTTGTATACATGTTTCATGATGCTTTGCTCACTCATGCCCTGCACCGTGAGACTGAGGAAAAAGGTGTAAAATTCTGTAAGATTCCAGCAGACACTCTAGGAGTAGCTGTAATATAAAAGTGATTTTAATCTTAAAATGTATTATCATAATACAGTACCCATCAGTGCAAATGTAGGCAAAAGGTAAGTCCCAGGCACTTTTCAGTTCTGGTGGAGAAAATGTTCAGTTAGTGTCTCTATGACAGGGACTTTTTTTAATATACAAAAATTATTTGTTGGTGCTTTGGAAGACCGTTAACAATTCCAGTTTCCCAAATGTATCTGTCTTTCATTTTCACAAGATTTTTTTTGCCATTTGCATTCCTCCTATTAGAAATAATGTGAAGGAAACAATTTTTATTACCATCAACCTCTTTCTCACTCAAAGTATTATACTGGATTTTACCATGTAATTAAACAATTATTCCATTGATGATTAAGGAGCTATTAATTGCTGTTTTAAAAAAATATATATAGAGAGAGAGAATGTTTAAATAAAATATTCATTGTATTATCTTTAAAATATATCTTCTAAATACACTTATTGTGTGCTGTCTACATACATTCTCAATATCTTTGTCTTTCCAGCTTTAAGGGACAATAGGATCGAGCTGGTCCGCGCTTCCTGGCATGAACTGAGCATCAGCGTCAGTGATGTGTCTCTCTCTGATGAAGGGCAGTACACCTGCTCCTTATTTACAATGCCTGTCAAGACTTCCAAGGCCTATCTCACTGTTCTGGGTAAGTGCCAGAGACGAACACCATGTAATCACACTCCCAGAAAGATGTGCACTGCTACAACACAGTTCAAACAAAATATTTATTGAACATCAAATCAATAGGCATAATTTAATATATTGTTGCCCCTCAGCAAAAAGACATTTAGGAATCACTTAGTTGCTTTAACTTGAGAAATAGACAAAGGTAGACACAAAGGTTATAGTGAATGCCAGAAAGCATAATGTCACTTTGTGCCTTAGGTAGTAACTATTTTGTTGTTGTTGTTTGTTAGCTTATTTGCTTTGAACTTTTTTTTGTTTTTCTTCCAATTAATTTCATATAAATTATGCATCTGCCATGTGATTTGAAGCCATTTAAAAAACAATAGAATACTTAGACAGTGACTCTAACTTGCATGCAAAGTGTGTTCTTCATCTTATTGTCTCAGTCACCTGATGGAGACCTTCCCTAATAACCCGTGGCTTTCAAAAACTGACCTCTTTTTGTACTGTGGCACGTTTAAATGGCCCTGACATTTCCATGTGTCTCTATTTAGGAAAAGAAAAATGTGTATTTTCTAGATTCATAAATGAAGTAGGTAATGTCACTTGTGCATGCAGCTTGTAGCTTCCTTGTGCTTTTATTCTCTAAGTATCAGGCCATTTTCCCAAAGGTTAAAGTGACATGAAAAAGCAATGCATTCATAGAGATTCAGAGGAAATAGAGGTGCAGCTCCAAGCTCATCAACTCCACAGTGCCCCAGTCAGCTGAAATTGCTGCAGTTCATTTACACTCACCTGTGTACTGAACAAGTTTGAGAAATTTAAAGATTGATTTTTTCCCTTTTTGCCCCTAGCTTGGCTACCTTTTTAGATAAAGACACAGTGTTGCATTTAAAATAGCCAATGCATAACATCCTTTCGATAGAAATATTAAAGTTAATCCAGCTAGCAAATTGGTTCTGTGCTTGGGATGTGAAATATGTTTCATTGAAAGTCCCACTGGAACTATTTCATAAAAATCTTCACAAGTTTGCCGTTAAGGACAAGATACATCCACTAAAGTGGAGTGTTCCGAGATAACAATTGCCTAAGGTTAATGCATTGTTCTGTAGAGCCAACTCAAGACTCAAAGAATAAATGGCTGTAGAGTGCAGTATATTAAATGCCATGATGACACTGATTTTTTAAAAGGGTATAAAGGTGAGTACACACAGACCAACTAGCTAGTTAAGAGAAGTAGGCTTATTTTCTCTTTTATCTTCGTTGTCATTTAAATTTTCTATTTCCCATATCAGAGCTTTCTGATATCCTTACATTTTAATAGTTTCAAAATTAAGTTAGAGTAGTACAATGAGGGCAACTTTCCTGCACCTTTATTATAGAATAATGCTGTGTGATATTTTAATAAACCTCCAAGAAAATAATTCAATAACACAGCATAGAAAATGCGTGATATTCAGGATGTAAAGACAGCTTTGCCCGTAAAAAAAAAATACTTCCTGGGAAAGCCTGGTCACAAACTTTCAGGTACTTAGTACCCTTGGAAAAGCCTAGTGAAGTATCATGGGTTTGAATACCCAGCATTCCTGTAGCCAAATACAAGGCAGCAATGGATAATTCTCAGGAAATACGTGGATCATCTAGACTGGAGCAGTCATCACAGTGTTTAACAGTAGGAAAGACAGTGTTTCAAACAAGCACCTGAGCTTCCTGTGACTCCCACATACCAGCGTGGCATTTGTGACGTCTCCTACATGAACATATGCACACTCATTCACACACACACACACACACACACACACACACATATACACGTAAGTACAAAATGTATTTTAAAGGCATGATATTCTTATCTCAAATCACACAACAGTCTACCTACTCAGACTGTCACAGTGGCAATCACAAGTTTTTGAATGATTGTATTTTAAAGCTTAAAATTTGCGTTTAGAAACTACTTTGACAGCACTCGGGAGGCAGAGGCAGGTGGATCTCTGTGAGTTCGAGGCCAGCCTGGTCTACAGAGCGAGTTCCAGGACAGCCTCCAAAACTATACAGAGAAACCCTGTCTTGAAAAACAAAAAACTACTTTGAAGTGAACACCTTTTAAAGTTCTTTCTGGCCAGGTGGAGGTGGCACACATCTTAAATCCCAGCACTCAGGAGGCAGAGACAGGTGACTTTAAGACCAACCTGGTCCACACAGCAAGTTCAAGGATAGCCTCCAAAGCTACAGAGAAACCCTGTCTTACCAAACAAAACAAAGTTCTTTCTGGATGCTGTGTATGCATGTGCACTATAGCTGAAAAAGTTTATTTTCTCATAGAGGAATTTAGGTCATCCCTGGAGATCGACACTCACTTTCCTTATTTGATTCAATTTCAGGTGTTCCAGAAAAGCCGCAGATTAGCGGGTTTTCGTCACCAGTCATGGAGGGAGACCTGATGCAGCTAACTTGTAAGACTTCTGGAAGTAAACCTGCGGCTGACATAAGATGGTTCAAAAATGACAAAGAAATTAAAGGTAAATCATGGGGAAAGTCCTTAGGTCAACATTAAGGAACACTGTGCTATAACAGAATTATCTATATTTTTAAGACCACACTATTCCTTACTGACTAAATATAATTCGAATGAGATTTATAAAATTCTTGTTAGGTAGCTTCACAAAGTGTATTAATATCATCACTACTGGACAGCAAGATGGTCCACTGACGATCAAAGTCCAATGAAAAGCCTGCTGATTGGAGTTCCATCCCAGGGAATCACATGATGGAATGAGAGCACATATGCAAAAATGTGTGCCCCACCCTGACAAAAAACACACAAAATTAATAAATAGTAGTCTTTAATAGAATCACTGTGTACTTTGTTTTGTGCTTATAAAAGCACAAGTCTAGAACTAATGTATACTTCACTGGAGACAAGGCTAGAAAATAAGTTAATGTAAGGTTTTAAAAAAAGGAGAATTTTACTTGAAAACAGAGCAGAAAGCACACTATTATTTCATATCCCACAGACATAATGTATGCTATAGTCAGGGATATGGTATGAGTTATTTCTTCATCTAGTACACTTCTGGATTTATAAATATTTGAAAGGAAAAACTAAACATCAATAAATTTTATTTCTAGTGATTCTCATAACGTAAAAGAATTGGTTCGTCTTAGTAAAAAAATTGATGGTGATTTAAAAGTTCTGTACAGATTCTAAACTTTCTCTGACATAAGCAATACATACATAGTTGAGGTTCGCAAAGAAGTTTACATAGAAAATGACTAATATATGATGGAATTAAGTAGTTCATACTAATATAACCACTGTGTCTTTAATCCCATGTGAAGGTGTTAGTCCTGATAACATGTACATTAATAATAATACTACGATAGTTGTTTATGGTGATTGTTCAAACAAGTTGCCTATGTGGTAATAATAGTATAATTATTGGCCTAATATTCTATAATTCATGCTACGCCAACCATTCTAGTTACTTTTACATACAATTCTTATCTTGTATCCAATTGTTTGATTCTTAGTAATTAAAACAAAGTCCCAGGATGTGGTTTATTTATCATACCAAGATTGTAATCTATAAAATTGTCATCTGTTTTCTTCCTTACTTCCCACATATACACCCTCTTATCAATAATTTTAACTTTATGCACCACCTTTGCCTAAACTAGGTATATTTTGCTCAATATATTTTAAGGGAAAGGTAAGGCACAAAACTGAAATTGGACATTTTACAATTCTGGATAAAAATTGATGTTGCTTTGTAGCCAAAATCTTGTATTTCGGCAGGTTCAATAATACTATCCTAATATTGACTCTAGGATATATTTGGAAGATTTCTCTGAACCTAGTGAGATTTTTTTCAAAGATAATCCCTCATTCTGCTTCCCTAGTTTACCAACTGTGACAAGCATTTGTTCCAGTCACTTTTCTGTTAAGCACTTCTAATGGAAAGCCCTTATACTATAGGATGTGTATCAAATTCCTTCTGCAGCTTACAGGAATATACTAAGCATCAAATTCTTAAGCATCACATTTCTTTTTCTTTGAAAGACATCTTTTAAACTTGCAAGAACTTCTTAAATGTATTTCAATGATTTTTAAAGACTTTGTATTTATGTGTATGTGCGTGTCCATGTGTATGTACCTTTGTATGTGTATGTATGTTTTTGTATGAGGTGTAGGGTACACATATAAGGATGACTGTGGAAACCAGAAGAGCATGTTAGAATTAGAGGTAGAGTTGTGATTGCCTGTTGTGTGTGATGGAAATTGAAGTCAAGTCCTCTGAAACAGGAGAATGTGCTCTTAAACAGTGAGCCATCTCTCCAACCCAGTGAATTGTTTTATAATCTGCATCCCTTCCTTAACTCTGACATAGTGAAATGGTTTGTTGAATGCATGTTCTTACCATTTTCTTGATGTTCCATGGCTATTCTTCCCTGACTCCCCAGGGTAGTTAAAGAGGGTAACACATTAGAGAGTTCATTAAAGTTGGTTGACTGTAGTTAACATTGTAACCTCATGAAAAACAAGTAGTATAGTAATGTTTTATGCAAAAAAATATTTTTTTAAACAAAGCTGGCCTCTCCTTTGAATATTAAGCAAAACTGAAGATATAAGGAGAGAGAGGTTATTGCTATAATAATCTCTAAAAATGTAAAAAGTTTGATGTTCTGAAACAGTGAACTTCAAAGACATCTAAATCAAGATCTGAACAAACACTGTAACAAAGCCATATGCAGAATCAGCATATGATTCTCTTCTGCATTCTGTAACTTTGAAGCCTCCTTTCCTAATGTTTTCCAATGCAATAACAGTTTATGGAGTTGGTATGAACCCCCTAGTTAAATGAATCTATATATCATCTGGATGAGTAGGTTGTTTATCTTCCCAAGCAGATGGTGAGCTTCCCTGAGTGGTGTAAATGCCACTTTGATTGGTGCACGTGTAAATAAGTGCAGTACACTGCATGAACTGAACACTCTGAACACTCATTTTGTTTGCTGTCCTCCGAATTTGCTAAATGTTATTTTTCAGAACAGTTACTTTAGCCAAACCTCCACACTTTAAGGTGTGGTCCATCAACATCTCAACTGCCTTGACTTTCCAGAGATAAAAAAATGACTATAATTGCTGACTGTTGAATTTATATAGTATCACTTGCAACTTTAAACATATGTAGGGGAAAGTGACTCTACTAGAATACAATCCACTTCAGTTTAGTCAGTTTTCTAATGTATCTCAGCTTCCTAGTGTATCAGAGCATATGAGAGAAGCAGCATATGAATCATCATGGAGATGTTTAAAGTGACTACAGTTACTAAAATAATTATGATTAGAATAATTTTCTACAGAGAGCCATGCCTATAAAAGTAAGTAATTTTCTTTAGGATTACCCATCCTATGGATTTTATTTTTCTAAAAGTACTACTTGATCACATGTATTTAAATAGGGAGGAGGATTTTCGTGTTCTTTAATTTCACTCAATTTCATAATTGCATGCATGGCATGTTGTAGCTCAGACTCCAATGCTCCAGTTCTGGTTGAGTACCAGGTAGAACCTAAGAGTATGTACTTTTATATCCTGTCACATGTTTGACGGACACATGTACTCCTCTTTGAGTACTATATTCATTTAGAGAACAGAATAAGTGTAAATTGTGTATATAAATATCCTTCATTTCTTTTTTTTTTTTTGGTTGTTCAAGTCAGGGTTTCTCTGCATTGTTTTGGAGGCTGTCCTGGAACTTGCTTTATAGACCAGGTTGGCCTCGAACTCACAGAGATATGCCTGCCTCTGCCTCCTGAGTATAATCATGTCTCCCTGATACTGTTGCTGCAAGTAACACACATGACTGAATGCATAGAAGAAATTGCTGTCATATGCAAAGACTCACTTTGTATACATTTTAGATATTTTATCTTTCTTGTTATTATTACTATATTCAACAAATAATGATTGTTGAGGTGTGTGTCTCTCTAAATTAAAATTGTGATGTGAACTAAAATGGACAGTGCTCTGTTAATACATTCACAAACAAGAGATGCTTGTATAAAACTTGTGTGTCCCAGGCACAAATACATGAATTAGCTGAAGGCTTGTTGCAAAAGAAGGGGAGACCAATCCTACTTTTAGGAAAAGCCAAACCCTTCAAGTGTTCATTCATAAGGAAGCATTTAATATATAATAATAACTGAATAAATAGATCTTTATGAATCTATCATTTGGGTTGTAACTCGGAGTAAGCTACAGGACAGTCTAGAGAAAGGAATTGCATTTATCTCTTTAGTTCAGGCAAGTGTTTGGAAAAATGGTGAAGTTTTCTGTATGGTGTTCTTAGGAGGCAGGCAAGGAGATAGAGTTCAGATATGCTGTGGAAAGCCTTCTACCCCTGATTAAGAGGTTAGGATACATTGTCTGAGCAAGAGTAAGACTTACTTTTTTCTGAAAGCTTTTAAGAATAAGACCATTACAATGCCATCTAACTCTGGATTTCCTGCTCTCCATGCATTGACCCAGACATCCCTTTGGTATCTCTGGACAGCTCTACATCCAAACCACAGATGTTTCACTGCAGCCTTTAATCTTCAGGGGAGTAAGGAAGTCTGGGTATCTGCCATTTACTGTGAAAAAGTGTGCACTCCCTTTCTAAATCATTCAGCACCCTGAGAACTGGCAGCTGCATTAACGTTTTCATTCTATTTATATGCTTGGTAATTTGCAGTTTGAGCATTTCTTATTAGCAAATCTTGAGATTTTCTTTTCTTGATAACTAGCTTTTAACGTATTAAGCAAAATTTGTGATTGCCCTCAATGATCCTATATCCTTACATAGTCCCCTTTCCTTAAGTGTGGGAGGAAATCCTGATATGAATTGAGCTGCAGGCTTTGTTTATTTTACCTTATATGGTAAAAGGAGCCTTGCATCCATAGCCACAGATCCCTTCTTCACTCACAGAAAATGTCAAAAGTGAAATTGACATACTGAGTTAAGGTCTTTCAGAGGAAGAGAGTCAGGAACATATTCGTATGTTTGTCTTGAAAACAATCAGTCATGGTTTAGACAATTTGTGGGAGCCATAGAGAACAGTGAGTGAACTCTGGTAGCATAGACATGTCCTTTCAGGAATAAGGAAAAAGGAAACGTCAGACAAACAGAACTGGAAACATGAACTGCTGACCACCAATGAACTTAAAATGTCTGTAAAGCTTGCAGGGGGAACTTTAGTCTTCAGCAAAGACCTTGATTTGGTGATGGGAAGAACAGAGTAAGCTTTATATCCTACAGGATAGCCAAGGTGCCAGAAACAGATCTACAAGGCAGGGATGTGTTTGCCTTTTTACTTATCTGCAAGAGGGAATATTCTGAGATTTAGAACTATAATTTGGGAGCTTGGAGCAGGAATATGGAATGCTCAAAGAGTGAGAGGTAATGACAAGCATGAGCTAAAAACATCCTAATGAGAGAAGAATGGACTCATTCTTCACAGGGATATATAAAAAGAGG